TCAGAGGGAGAAAGTCAAATACCATATGATCTCACTCATAAGTAGAAGATAAAAATGACAAAAAAAAAAACAAAACACATAGCATTGGAGATTGGACTGGTGGTTACCATTGGGGAAGGGGGGAAGGGGAGGGCAAAAGGGGTGATTAGGCTCACATGTGAGGGGATGCACTATAATTAGTGTTCGGGTGGTGAACATGATGTAATGTATCCAGAATTTGAAATATGATGTACATCCGGAAAAAATTAAAATTAAAATTAAAAAAAATAGAGGAAAACTGACACAGGTATTAGCTCAGGGCAAATATTCCTCAGCAAAAAAAAAAAAAAAAGGAAACAAAATGTCCTTCAATATGAGATCATTAGCCAAATTTTGGTGTAACCAGATAATAAAATATTATGCATTATTTAAAGGATGAGATATATCTTTATGGATTGATATAGAGTTACGCCCTCAATATATTATTTTTTTCATCCTATTTGTATGTGTATGTAAAATATGGTTTTTAAAAAACCCACAAACATACACACACATTCTCAAAGGCTTTCTGAACTCTAAGTCAGGAGAGGCTGGAAAACAACAAGGAAAGCTGGCAGCGCCCTCCCTAGACAGACATGTGGCCACACGCAGAGATTATCTAAGACGATTTAACCTAGACCAGGAGTTCTCAAAGTGTGGCCCCTGGACCAGCAGCGTCAACATCACCTGGGAACTGGTCAGAAATGCAAATTCTCAGGTCCATCCCAGACCTGCTGCAGCAGGAACTGGAGGGATGGGGTCCTCCAGAGGATTGAGGCCCACAAAAGCTGGAAAATGCCCCACCTGGACGTCTGGAAACAGTCATGGAACTATAGGATAAGCTGTCACTTCAGGGTCACTGTGTCAGAAAGACTCCTGTGTGTAGGACGGGGTTTCTCAGGAAGGGAATGGAGGAGTCTTACCTTGGAGTGAGGAAAAAGAAAAATATCTCTTGATGTCTCTGAGACCTGGACTCAAGATGGCCGGGACGCCAGGTACAGCAGCTCCACCCGCTGCCGGGGTTTGGTGGAATGAAGGCAGCCAAAGGCGAGGCTGGGCAGGCGGGGTGGAGGAAGGACCTGGGCCTCAGCAGCAGGCGTCAAGATGCTCTGAGTTGTATGCTCTCGTTCCCATTATCCTCAAAGCTCCAGAAAGGTCTCATTAAAGTAACTCTGGTCTCAGCTGTTCCATGGGAAACCACAGAAGGCCACAGAAGAAGGGAGTAGAGGGGAAAGCAGTGTCCATCCCCACTCAGGCCAGAAAGGGGGGAGTAGCCGCTGCCAGGTTGGCCAGGGAGCTGGACTCCACCAAGGGCGACCTCACAGACGTCATCAACACAAAAGTGACAGTGTGGTGGCAGGGGAGAAAGCCAGAGCTGAAGAACCCTAAGCACTCATGGGGCAGTGCCCTGGGAAAGGCCCAGAGAAGCTGGAGGACCAACACCTGGCAGGTCTCGGGGGACGGAAGAAAGGAAGCGATCTCTAGAGTGAGCCGGAGGGGCTTCATGCTGTCATAATCTGGGATTTAGCAAGAGAAATGGATAGATCTGGAAAGCTAGATCTGAAAGATAAAACAGTCTGTCAGGACTTCCCTTCAAAGCATCTACCGCAATTTTATTTTCCACTTATTCGTGTAATCATTTAATTGTCTCTCTCCCCCCCTAGACTGTAAGGTTCATGAAGGCAGGAACAGTGCATGCTTTTGCTCACCACCATATCCCCCGCTCCTAGCTGGCACATAGTAGGTACTCAAAAAAAGGTTGGATGAATAAATAATTTAAGATTAAAATACTCTGGAGTGTTTGATTATTCTTTCTCTGTATTGTTGGCTTCTTGTTTTATTTGTTTTTGCAAAAAACACTGTGTAATCATGTGAAAGTATATTACCAAAAAGTATATTATCAAAGGAAGACATTTCCTTTTTGGAAGGAATGAGTCATCTCATAAATACGGTGCTGTGGCTTTAGCTTCTGAGTTGTAAACACTCATTTAGAAAGGCAAAATAATGTAGGTAAAAGGTAGGATGTATTTCACTGGAAATACACAGAAATACACCCAACACTGGTGATGAGAAGCGTCCAACTTGACGGTCCTAGACTCTGCACCATCCCAGGGTAACTTGGAAATCAAAAGTTAACTCTGTGCAGAGGAGCTTTAGCACGAAGTGCTTCTATGGAATTACAATTCGTTGAAAACTGACCATCCACATATGATAAGACAGCACGTACTACCTTCGGCAAACGCCACATCTGGAACACAGAGTCATTACACCAGGTACCGTGGCGTCACAAGGACACACGAGACCCACCCACCTGCCCTCTGACAGCAGAGACGAGCACCAGTCACTCTAAGATCTGAGAGTCTGGCTGCAGAACAGAAAGGCGAGGCTACTTCAGAGAGGACTGAAAAAACAGGGAGGATAAATTGGGCAGTTCAACAAATAATCCCCAGCCCCCTAGCCTGAGAAGCTTCCCCTGACCTGGGGAGAAGTTGTGAGATTAAATTTTTAGAAACATACATTTGGCATCTTTTACTTCAAGCAGCAACAGGACTGTGCTCATTTGAAAGCGGCTGTGCTACCCAGGGTCGGCAGTCCATCTGGTCCCTAACTCTCGGGGCTGCGTGGTCACAGTACTTAACGTATTCTCCTCCCAGGAAGGATTCATCCTACCACAGATGTGACAGGCGGAGCAAGGGCTCCCCACAGTCCTCAGCAGGGCTTCCTCGGCCACTGCAGTTCTGTCTCAGCATCTCTGCAGCCACCATAAAAGGCCTTACATCTCGGTTTGGATGCTGACTTCATACGAAACTCCGGATACAAGGAGTGGGGAGCGCCTCTCCTCCCCCTGGCCTCCCTCTGTTCCCCTTGAACTCGGGGTCAGACCTCTGGGGAACCGGACGCTTATCTGAGAACAGTCCAGCGGCCAGAACAAAGAGAGGACCCCCACCTCTCTCCCTGAAAGGGCTAGGAGAGGGAGCTCGGACACTCTCCATCTCGGCGTGCCGAGGCTGGGTAATTGCCAGGCTGACCCCTGGAGCCTCTTGCCCTGCTCACCTTTCACTGTAATGCACGGGACGGTATAATCATGAAATGTGCTTATTAATTTTACTCATTTGACACCGCGCTCTTCTGCCCTGAGCTAGATGTTAGGAGAAAATGATAGGGATAGATTCTGCTCCTGTCACACTCACCAAGACTTTCAGAAAACCAGACTAGCAGAGGCCACGTGCCGCCCACTAGCCACGCATCCAAGATGACCCCCAAGGTACCAGCAGAACGTTAAAGACGCAGACCGGCCGAAGAGAACAGCAAGAAGACGGGGAGGCCCATGGGCGGGTGTGAGCCCCCACGCGAGCCCTCCGGGGAGAGCAACCCTGAGCCGGTCCTCCAGGGACGGCAGCACTGAGTCCCTGCCCTGATTCATGGCTAGCTGCTTCATATCTAATTCATCAAAAGACACTTTGGCTTCTCAAATCAGGAACATTTTTACTAGCTTCCCCAAGAGTTTTATGGCACAGAGCCATATCTAATGATTCTGTTTTATGGCAAGTTATACATTCAAACAGGGCTTTGAAGTCAGGCAGCAGGTAAGACTCAAATCTTTGTCAAAAAAGATCCCCTCGTTCTTTCACTTTTAAAATGTTTATAAATGTTCAAACAGTTGGGGAAGTGATGTGGAGCATTTTAACCGGCTTCTCTTCCCTCAGCCAGGACCCAGCGCGGGCTGACCCGACATGCAGCTGCCTTTACGGCGGCGTTCTCAATGGGGGCTGACTTTGCCCGCCCACCCCCTCTGCCTGCGGACATCCGGCAATGTCTGCACACATTTTTGGTTGTCACAACTGGAGGGTTGGTGCTACTGGCATCTAGTAGATGGAGGCCAGGGATGCGGTTGAATATCCTACCATGCGCAGGATAACCCCACAACACAAAATTATCTGATTATCTGGCCCAAAATGTCAATAGTGCCAAGGTGAAGAAACCCTGCCCTAGGGCTGCTTCTGGACCAGGCACTGCATCCCTTCCACGCCTGCGACATCAGATACACCAATCTAATCACTGTGGCAGGCTTTCAATGCTATTAATGAGACGCATGTTCTTTAATTCTTATGTATTCTTGGTACGCATTTTCCATGAAAAAGAGTAAAACAATAAACAAAATGAGGAAAGGAAAATCAGACCACGTTAGAATCTTGGAATACAGGACGCAGCCTCTGTTAACTAAACCCTCCTGATGTTACCGTGCACTCTTTAAGCTCCACCCAAATAGGAATTTATCTATTGAAACAACACAATAACCCATCCCAGCCATCAGCACTGTTGAACCCCGCCACGGAAGTCTGCTGAAAAGCACGGCGAGTTCTGTGCTACACTGTGGGGTGCGTCCGGTCAGAGAACTGAACTTGGGAGGGCTCTGGCCCTGATTCACCACTCCCAAGGACTGGGAACCCGGCACTGGCCTTCTCGGAGCTCGGGGGCTGCTAATCAGCTGAGTGGAGATAAAGCTACTTGCCCTCTCAGCCTTCCAGGGGCCTGTGAGAGCGAAATGAGTCCACGGGCTGGAGACCGCTCTGTGAACTGTAAAGAGCTATACAAACGTATGGCAATACCTTTATGACATTTATACGTGTAGGACAGTCTGTGACAACCACCGAGGGTCTTTCAGACTCTTGGATCCTTTTCATGAAACATCACAACTAGAAGTGCCTTTGGAAATCAACTGATCCAACTTAATTTTACAGAAGGTGAAAATGGGCATCACAGAGGTCAAGTGACTCGGCCACGGCCAAGGCCAGGAAGCAGCCCAGATGGGGTCAGGTCTTCTGACTCCCAAACCAGGACACTCCCCACACCTTCCCATCGGTGATACTTTCCCTCCCTTTTTAAGCTCCCGGAGGGAAGAAGCACATCTTACAGACAAGGCTCAGAGAGTCTTGAACACAGGAGGTAAGTATTTGTTGAGTCAGTGAATCTTGACTTACTACATCGTAGCCCGTCGGGGCTCGGTTCCGAGAAGCCACCACCCCCACTCCCGTGATGGGATCCATCGACGTCTCTGGCAAGGATTCTGAAAGGTCCTTGACTTCAGGCATGGTGGATTGGTCCTGGTTCCGAAAAGGAAGAAGAAAGCACAAAATTCAAACTGAGGGTTTAAAGTGAATAACATAAAGTTTCAAACAGATAGAACCAGAATCCTGGGGCAAACATCCTGAGCTAAGTCCGCATACCTGAACTGGCTAAGGGAGCCCCGGCCTTACCTGACTCTTTCCTCAGGTCAAGAACTCGGATCATCTCTGGCCCCTGCTCTTCGCAAGTTAGCTTTGAAACACTGAGCTAACGTAGTGAATGAGGGCTTGCCCCGGCTTGGAGGAGGTGATTTTGACTCAAACCCAAAAGCAAACCATTCTCGACTCTCCTGTCCTGCTGCCTGACTTCTTAACACACACCAGTAGCTTCACTGAGGATAAATCAGACACGGCGTCTAACGACACTTTTCATCTCTCTCTTACAATATCCCCTTATGGAAGAGCAGACTTCCAAATCCACAGCCTCTGTTACAACCAAGGGTGGACTACTCATTAGGCAGAGCTTCGAAAACACAAAAGTGTTCTGGGCACGGAGGCAAAAGAAGGGTGTGTAGTCCAGGATCCATGACTTTGAGCAAGAAGAGGTCATGATACTGACTTGCAGAGCTGCACTGAGAAATAGCAGTCGCATAAACGGAGGCCCCGGAGAGGCCCCTGGCGCACAGTAGGCACTCCGCAAAAGCAGATTAGCCTGGCGGGCAGAGGACTGGCAGATCCCTTTGTTGTGTTTAATCCCGCAGGTCATATGGGCACTTACTCAAAGCTCAACACTAACAATGACCATAATTCTTGCTGGGCACTTGGAGAGAAAGGGAGGGGAACTGGAATTATTATTCTGCTGTTGACTGCCTCTTGATGTGACCAGAGGAGACAAGCAGAATATGGAGAGCACCGGGTCCCCGCAGCTCGAGTGGCAGTGCACCAGAAAGCAAATGAAAAAGGTAACACCTTATGTAAATGACTTTTAGTACTTTTAAAAGGACAAGCAGTGAAAAAGAGCAAGTTAAATTCCACCTCCTTCTGCAGCAATTAAATTCCACTGGCTGCAGATCTGCCAGATTTCTCAAGGCTGGTTCCCACTTCTAAAGCAAACCAAACACCCTGCCTAACTAAGCAGGCAGGAAGAGCATTCTTAATTCTCAGCCCAGAATCAGAAAAGGCAGAGGCTATTAAAAATGACTGCAGCCTCCTAAACAGGAACCATCAGAATGCTGTGTGCAAGTTACCCCCGTAATCAGCATCCTCGGAACCTACAGAAGGCTCCGGAAACAGACTCATCAATGCAAGGGAGCCAAGTCCTCAATCCAGGCTGGGAAGTGCCTGGCAGCAGCCGCAGGCTTAGCTTCTGTTTAACACAAAAGCCAAACTAAGTTACGCTTTACTTGATTATACTGAAAATAAGGTTCTAGAAGCCCAGGGCAGGGGGTAGGGTACCAGGCCAGACCACTGCATCAACTTCTGTTTTCAAATTTCATTTGTCAGGCAGGTTTATCTGCATAAAGCACAGTGCTTCACGCTTCCTGCCCACAGTAGGCATTAAATAAATACTTATTGAATAAATACACAGGTAGGCCCCCAAGAAAGAATGTTTAGCAATAAATATGTGCACCAGCCTAATCCAAAACAAAAACGGACCAAAAAGTATCTTCACGCTGGAGAATCCCATATTATTGGTAACATGAAAACAACACTGCTGCAGTTTGCAAAATAGCGATACCTGCTGTTGGTTACCAAAACGCTTTGCAATTAACAACTCATTAACAGAATGCACGAATTCTGCCAGTGCTAAAATATCACGCTGTGAATTTAATAAAGAACATGCGAGGTAAGGTTTTTTTTTTATTAAGATAGTACTGCCTCTACTATCTAAGAGAGGGAGAGGAGGCAAGCATGGGAATAAACAAGAAATATTTTATTTCTTGATGGATTCATGTCTCGGGTCACCGTATCCTCCACGAGGAACTGATGACAACGGCTCTCTTTTGCTCTGAAGCACGCTATCCAGTGCAGTGGGGTAAATTTGCTCTTAAAGAAACGGCGCTGCTCCCAGAATGCACCAGAGAGACAGCCCTGCAGCAGGTTCCAAGATGGCTGCAGGCTGCCTCCTGCTGAGGCAGACAAAGGAGCCTGCGGCCTGTGCCCCTGCGTGCATGGTCACAGCCCAGCCTGCAGGATGGGAGGATGCGCGGAGCAGAGCAACGGGCACGGAGCATCTCGGATGCACGCCTTCTTCTTGCCTTCCCCCCCAGCTGCAGTACCCTGGGGATCCAGGCAGCCTTTGTGAAATACAGACAAATGACTCCTCGCTGCGCAGGGGCCTGGGCCGGCTCTGCGGTGGAGGAAGCACCACCACCAGCAAAGGAAGCTTTTAATGAGAAACGCCCAAGATATCCATGGCAGAGGCAATCACTCAAAGCAGCTTGCCCTGAATTACATATTTTCTGACTGCAAATTACTTTTAACAGCGTCTCGACCGTCACTTCAATTGACCTTCCTAACAAAAGGCCATTTATTAACTAGCACTCCACGTTTCCCGGGCTGCATGGAGCCTCGAGCCAGAAGGGATGGCACCACCGGGTACTCAGGCGCCCAGGGTCACAGGCCAGGCCTCTGTGAGGGGGAGAAGAGGCCATTAATGTGGGCCTGCAGAGCAAATCTGCCCGGGGAGGGGAGGGTGAGAGCAGGGTGTGGAAGACCAACATCAACCTGTCTGGCAAGAGGCAAGGCAAGACTAAAACAGAAAACACCAAGGCCTGCTTGTAACAACTCTGGGTTTCATCCCCCGCAGCTCCTCAGCCAGCATCCTCCTCTATCTCAAAATCCTAACTGTACGCAAAACACACTAACACACCTCCGGGGCGTTCGTACAGCGCTTTGCAATTCTCAAAGAGCTCCTCAGGCTCCGTCTCCACTGATGCTCACACCAAACCTGGGAGGTGGCTGGGTCCTATTATCCCCATTTTGCAGGAGAAAACACATTTTGCCCGGAGTTCTCAGACATCATGCAGCTGGCAGACGGCAGAGACGAACAAGACCTCCAGCCTCCCTCTCCAGTCCGGTCTGCTTTCCACGACACCGTGCAGAGAGAGACCAACACCCCATTGGATGCCCGATCGAGAAAGTGGCTTCGACACTAATTATATTTTAAAATGTCAGAGCTCTTCTTTCTCTAGCCATGGCCCAATAAGCGAAGCAAGGGGGAAAAAGTACAGAAAGATAAAAGTAACGTGGGATTAATTTCCCTCACACCTCAGTTTCAAGATTCAACATTTTCCTCATAAATAATTTACTACAATAAAAATGAGCTAAGGCCATGTTTGTGTAGGACGGAGGTAAATTTAGGCCTAATGAGGGAGATCCGATCACTGCACGGGAGGGAACGGTTGATGTACAGCTCGGTGCAAGCGCCACCGACAGCACACAGGGGCTCCATTACCAACTGCAAGTCACCGGGAGGAGGAGGGGGGCAATTTGGGGAAACTTCTACCATCCCAGCTATAGCCCGAAGGAGGGTCTCTACAGGGAAGCCAAAAGTTGACCCAGTACTTTAGATGACAAGATAACAGATGTTGCGATCTCTCAGAATTAGAGGATTGAGCCAGCCTGAAACTCTGTCCGTTCTCAGTAAACGCCCAGGTAAGGAAGGAGGTGGTGGAGGCTGGGAGTCACGTCTGCTCCTGGGGTGGAGGCAGTGCAGTGGCAACACTGACCTTGAGCTAGTCCTCCTAATTCAACCTTGCAGGTCATCTGGTCCCAATCCCCATCCCCATCTCTACCCGGAGTGTGCAGCCTCTGCCAGATCATTTCCAAGGCTGGGGACTGCAGAGCCACACTCCCGGCAGCTGTCCCTCTGTCTGCCCCTGAGAGGATTTCTCGGCAAGGCGGGACAGCGTGTGTGAGCATGAGTGAGAGTGTGTGTGCTGCATGGACATACTGGGGCTAGCTGAAGTCAGCTAGGGCGAGGTGCGTTGTCCACACCAGGAGGGTTTTTTTCCATGCCATGCGCAATACATACTATGCACCAGGCAAACACCTCTGGGTGGGAGAAAGCCCGCTTCCCACTTCCGCCTGCAATGCTGCAAACAGTGCCTGGGGGGCAGGGTAGGGGGGCCCAGCTCCCAGCACTCCAGCACCTCACCAACGCTGTCATCCCAGGTTCACGGAGACATGAACTTGAACTAGAAAGCCCCTTTGTACAGACAGCACACTGCTCCCTGGTAGCTGATCAAAGAATTACTACAACAGCGAGCTTAATCCCTAAAAGTCAGCAGTGCTGGGCTTAACTGATGCTGAACATTGTTTCAGAATCAAAGGCGTGCCTCCCGGCCCCAGTCTGGGAGAAAACTAAGCTACTGTATCACAGCTGAAAACTCAGGGGAACTTTGATATCATCTCTGTTTAATTTCCCGGCCCTCTGAGCCTGGGGTTTACCTCGTTTTATCAACTCCTGCACCGAAATCAAAACCCAGCTAACAGACCTCTCTCCACGGAGGCCCTTCCAGCAGCTGGCTGGGGTGTGGGCTGAGCAGTTTAAAGTGCTTTTGGGGGGCAACCACTGCAGGGGGCAGGGGACACTCCCTTCAAAGGAGGTGTAGTGGGATCCCAGACTCCACCTCCCCTGCCGGGGCAGGAATGCCCGGCTCAGAAGCAGGGCCAGCGCCACCCACCAGGGCTGAAGGCGAGACTTGCACACAACTTGCGAGGAGAGTAATTTCAAGGGGGGAGTGGGGATTTAAATTGGGCTACTGTAATTGAAATGACAAAACCAGTGGGTTGATTAAGTCCCCACAGAAGGATGAACTGGCAATCAGCTTGTTTGAAATCCAAAGTCAAGGGCACAAAAGGCAATGACTGTCTGGCCACATCTACCAGCTTGCAGGGCTGGGGAAGCAAGTGGGTAAATATTTCACTCGCCCCGGGAAACGGCACCAGAGCAGGGCCACCCCTGAGAACGGGCTGTCCCCCAGTAAAAGATGCTGCGGTGGCAGTCCGGGGCAGTTCTCTGCCCGCCTCCCAGTGGCAGTGGAGATCTGCACGAATCCATGCCCTGCTCGGTTGCCCCATGATTACCAGCACCTTTCTGCTGACAAATCTCAAGCAGGGGACAGGACACTGCCCGTCCCCACAGGAGGGAGCCCCTGGCCAGGCTTCAGCAAGGCACACCACGACACACAAACACACAAACCGGGCCACTTCCAAGCAGCAAGGTGCAGAGACCCACCTCCTCCGGAGGCTGCGAGCTAAGGCCAGGGTCCATGCAGCACCCAGGAGAGCGGCCAGCCGGCTCTCAAGGCCACCCGTGGGAGACAGCGCACAAGCTCTGTCCCCTGTGGAACCTCAGGACAGCATCCTAGCGCCTCCTGATCTTTGGTCTAGTCAGTTTACCTGGTGACCAGTCAGAAGTCAACTCACTCGGACAAATGCTGTTGAGTCCGGTCAGGTGGCCGCAGGCCACAGGCTGCCGGGAAGGCTGCTAAGACAGTGGGGAGCTAAAGCAAATATTTTTCTAAGCTCTCCTAGATCACAAAGAATTTTCCAGCTAGGGAACTAACAATGGTGAGCATTTCCTTTTCCCCAGTAAAGGTCTGTTACTTCTACAAGAAGAATCTGGTGTATAAACGCATCCAGTCAATCTGACCTACGCTTCGATTTATATTAACCATTTGATGACCAAACCTTTTCCATCAACCACGTGAGGCAGGCCTGGGGTCAGGTTGCAGCCTGTACAGTGCAGGGCTAGATCCCGGAATTCGCTCTCCAAAAATAAAGCCGGGATCAAGTTCTGCAGCACTGCTGGGGCCCAAGCCCTGCCCTTAACAGGCCCGACTGCAAAAGCAGGGAAGCTGGTGCCGGGGGAGGGGCGTTCTCCTGCACACGAGTCCCATCCAGACTTGCCCACGGTCACCGCAAATGAGCGTCATCCCTGCCCATTCCCGTCAGGTCTTGGGGCCATATTGTCCCCCCGGAGAGCAGGAAGAAGGAAGATCCCAACAGAAGGCAGAGGCCTACAAATGAAACCCCCCCAGGAGGCTCCAGGAGCAACAGCCTCTTGAAGTGCAGGGACATAAGATGAGTCACGCCCTTGACCTGATGGCCACAGCGTCTGCAGAATAAAAATGTCCACATGTCTCCTCAACACTGGGCAAATGCGCTGCCAGGCCAGGATCACTAGAACACCTGGCCTCAGGTCAGCCAGGCAGGCCCCATTACCGTCACTCCCCTCCCTGACTTTCAACAGATCCTGAGAGTTTCTTTTCATACATTTGGTCACCTAAGCATTGCACCTGTCGGCTGACAATTTCCGAAGTACCTCCAAAGACTTTTCTCCTGAGACTCAGAAGTGTGTATCTAGTGTCCTGCTAGCTATTGTCACTGGCGCGTCCTAATAATACCTCAAACCCAGCAGACCTTGCCATCCTCCCACATTCCCAGCACCTAACAGGATCTGGCACGCAACAGTCAGTCCACAAACATTTATAGAGAGCCTTTGTGCTAAGCATTGAGGGAGCGTATGCAGTGATGAAGATGGAGAATCCTACATTCTGGAGCGGAGTTCTCCAAGTCTACCACAGGAGTCACCTGGAGAATTTTAAAACAGAGATTCTTGAGCCCAGCAACACTGATTCAGTAGGTCTAGGATGGGGACCAAGAAGCTGCATTTCTAAGAAGCTGCATTTCTAACAAGCTCCAGGAGAGGGTGAAGCAGCTGGTCCCTAGTCTGAACTTTGAGTACAAGATAGTAGGTACTCACTGGGAGTTTGACGAATGAGTGACTGAATGAATGGAATGAACCTGAAGGTAATCATCCATGGAGAACAGCCTCGAAGGAGTCCTCTAGGCTCTCCCTCCCCATCACACGTCAGCCGAGAGCACCCAGTTCCTCTCCTACGACACCCTCCCCACTATTCAACACCTAGGTCACATTTCCCATTCTACCCAAACCTTCCTCAATTGCCCAGCCAACAGGTGCTGTCACTAGAATTCTAACATCCAAAGACATGGTCTCAGCACATACATTTGCATATATGCACGCGTGCACACACACGTGCATGCAGCCTTGCCTCTCAGGTTATAACACACTGTCCCTAGCAGAAAATAAGTTCTTCAAAGGTGTTATGTCCACCTCAGTGCCTAGCTCACAGTAGGTACTCAATAAATGGACTATGGGTAGATGGATGGAAGGGTGGAAGGAAGGAAGGAAGGAAGGAAGGAAGAAAGGAAGGACGAACGAATGAAGTTCTTTCCATCCTCTCAAAATTTCCTGTGTTTCATTGGTTTAAGGAGGGCATATAAAGCAGCAGAGGCAATGGTGACAGTGCACCTACCAGGCCCCCTCCAGTGAGAGCCCCACACTGGGATCACTCATGCCCCACGCAGGACAAACACCACCACTCCAGGCATGAGCCATCTGCAGAGGAAGTGTGGGGGGTGGGGGGGCTGCAGCTCTCCCAGCAGTTTCTGAAGCGAGTCTGACTCAGTCCAAGCAGGTTGACTGAGGGCCTGGCGGGGTCCATGGGTCCCCAGGCTGGCTGCACAGCCGACGCCCCTGAGGAGCTGTTAAAAACCACAGCTGCCCATTCCAACCCGGGGTTCCGATTTCCTGGGTCTGGGCTGGGGCTGAGACTGATAACACACAACCCAGGGGAAGTGCCACTGTGCTGGGTGATACGGGGACGAATAAGACACGGCCACCACCCATGGAGCCTGCAGGCTGGAGGAGATATCCCAAAAGAAAGGCACTGCAAGTGAGGGGACACTTCCTTCTGCCTGGTGAGTCAGGGAGACTGCCACTTGAGCTGGCCTCCCTGATGATGGAGGGAGCAGAGTGGGGAGGGTATTGCAGGCAGAGGACATGGCACCACCAAAGACACAGGGGTATGAACACACACGGACGGCTGGAGGAACAGCGAGAAAGCAGATGGTCTCAGAAACGGGCTTACGAAATGCTTAGACAAACAAACAAACGAGACAGTTAAAAACCTGTCTGCACTCCTCTGCTATTTCTGGGGTCTCAGCAACAAAGCAGATCTCCAGGAAGGAACACCCCAGTGGTCCGAAAGAAGAGATTCCCAAGTCTTCTGCTCATATTTCGTCTCCTGCAACTGAGCGCCTCTCAAACCAACGCCACTTCCTGCACACCCCCACGGGGCCCCCTTATGCTAGTACCTTAGCAGGGGGAATGGAAGGCAAAGCAGAGGAATGGAAGGGGTGCAAGCTTTGGGGTCAGAGGGAGCCGAGCTTGAATCCCAGCTCTGACAGTAACTTCCAGCTGTGTGACCCCAGGCAAGTTAACTAAACTGGGCCTAAATTTCCATGCCCATAATGTTGGAATAATAGATACTATTGTCTCTACAGGGTTATAATGTGTATAAAGAACATGTAGAACTTGCATCAAAAGACACAATCAACAGAGTAAAAAAGGCAGTCTACGGCATGGGAGAAAATGTTTGCAAATCATGCATCTGATAAGGGCTTAAAATACAAATCTATAAATAAATCAAACTCAACAATAAAAAAATAAATAACTGGATGAAAAAACAGGCAAAGGACTTGAATAAACATTTCTCCAAAGACGATAAACCACTGGTCAAGAAGCATATGAAAAGATGCTCAACATCACTAATCATCAGGGAAATGCAAACCAAAACCACGGTGAGATATCACCTCATACCCATTAGGATGGCTACTACCGAAAAAAAAAACAAACCCAGAAAATTAGTGTTAGTGAGAATGTGGAAAAAATGGAAGCCTGGTCCACGGTTGGTGGAAATGGAAATGCAGCTGCTATGGAAAACGGTATGGTGATTCCTCAAAAAATTAAAAATAGAATTGCCATATGACCTGGCAATTCCACTTCTGGGTATAGACCCGAAAGAACTGAAAACGGGGTCTCAAAGAGATATCCGTACATTCATGTGCATAGCAGTGTTATTTGTAACAGCCAAAAGGTGGAAGCAACCCAAGTGTCTGAAGACAGAAGAATGGCTAAAGCAAAATGTGGTCGATACATACAATGGGGTATTATTCAGCCTTAAAAAGGAAGCAAGGTCTGACACATGCTACAATGTGGACGGACCTTGAAGACATTAGGCTAAGTGAAATAAGCCAGTCACAAAAAGACAAAAAAGATACGATTCCACTTATATGACGTACCTGGAGTGGTCAAATTCACAGAAACAGAAAAAAGAACGGTGGTTGCCAGAGGCTGGGGGAGGGGGAATGGGAGCTGTCTAATGAACACAGTTGCAGTTTTGCAAGATGAAAAAGTCCCAGAGATTAGCTGCACAACAATATGAATGCACTTAACATCACCAATCTATACACTTAAAAATGATTATTTAGGATGGTAAATTTTATGTTATGTGTATTTTACAATGTAAAAAAAAAGCGTCTGCCATTGTGGTTCTCAAGTTGAGTACAACCCAAGACTCCTGCTAAACATGTAGATCCTGGGTCTTCTTCCCCAGACAGTCTGATCCAAGGTCGGAGTTTGAGGCCCTGGAATCTGCATTTTCATAAACATCCTAGGGTTACTTAGCTCCTTAAGAATTTGTTTGTTTTTCTCTTCTAAAGGACCGACGAATATTCTTTTGAACATTTTGCTTTGCTGATCAGTATCTGTTTAAAAAAAAAAAAAGCCTGTGTGTGTATATGTGCGTGTAGGACAATCTCATGTTGATGCTAGCCACAGGCCCAACAAGATGGCCCTCCGGTCCTCAGGGGAGTGTGAGCTACAGAGCTGAGTGTGCAAGCCCAGGGCTCCAGGCCCACGGGCCTCTCACATTTCAGCCTGGACAAGCTCTGCATCACGCCAGAAGCGTGTCAAGTAAACCAAACCCATGCCCACAGGATGTCCCCAACAAGGGAGGTAATGTCAAGCACACGCCGCAGTGGTTCTGCCTCCCGGGCAGCTGGGGAGAGGAGATCTGAGGCCTCACTGCAAACAGTGCAGACAACTCAGGGAAACCACAATTCCCAGGGGCAGCCCAGCGAGCGGAAGGCCAAGGAGAGCCTGTGGGGCCAGTGAAAGGTTGGCCAGGGAGGGCCTCAGAGAGAGTGAGAACAGCCTGGGGAGCGGCAGCTCATTCAACGAACCCAGGCCTCCCCTCCCACAACCCAACCAGCAAAGGACACTTTGCTCACTCAACCGCAGCCACCTAAATACAGAGTTCTCAGCCCACCACATCCAGCCACGTAGTCATTTGTTATCTTCACCATCATAATAGCACCTTTCACATTTCCCATGTTTGACTCCAACACCATCATTACTTTCTAGTGTGGCAAGGATGTCACTCTTTGAGCATGAAGGATGGAGCGCTTCCAACCTGCTCAGGCAGAGGGCCTAGGCCACCGGGATTCTGAAGCAGGCCCCCAGAAGCAGATCTGCCATGAAACTCATGGAGATTAAGCTTGGACCTCCCCCAAGCCGTTCCAAGGCCCTGAGAGGGGAGCCAGCAATGTGTTCACATGGTCCTGAGGTTTTGCAAAAAAAAAAAAAAAAAACCACAAGATATTTTTGTATTCTTTTTCTTACAGCCCCTGCCACACACACCAATTGTCTAAACCACGGAGGCACAAAACCAGGATCTGCCACTGTATCCCACTTAAATTTAGTGAGAACCCTCACCTTTTGCAGTGCCACGCACGTTCACACACACGAGCTCACACGAGCTGGGCAGGTTTTATTGTTAAGCCACTTTTACAAATAAGGAAATGGGGATTCAGGAAGGTTCCAACAGGTTCTGTGACTTGCCTAGGGTCACCTGGGTTCCAAGGGGTAGACTGAGATTCAAATCTAGGCCCCAAGCCCAGTGTTCTCTCTACTCCACCATCCCTTCCCAGTTGCCCTGAGAAGAGCTAAATATTAACCACAAACAGAAAGGCACTCTAAAAAAAAAAAAAAAGCAGCAGCTACCCTTCTGATTAATCAGTTAACAAGCCCTTAATAATAGCCACTAACTTTTACTGACCACTTGCCCTGCGGCAGGCACAGAGCTAAGCACTTCTCTTGTATTTCATTGACTTCTCATCATAATCCTATGCAGTAGATGCTAGCACTAGCTTCACTCTACAGATGAGGGAACCGAGGCTCAGAAAAGTTCATTCATTGGCCCAAGAACACACAGTAAGTAGGAAAGCCAAGGCTGACGCTGAGGTCTAATTCTCAAGCCCTGGCACCTCGGCGCACTATTCCAGCCAGAGGTGGGGAAAGCCCACCAGCCAAAGGGAGGCATACATCAGGAACGTGGCCTAAAAGCCAGAAGGAAGGAGTGACAAATGCGGACTCCAGAAGATGATTCCAGGCTCAAATGAACCAGGAACTGTCATGTCAACTGCTACGCACGGGTCTTGGTAGCTAGGTCCCAGCAAAGGCTCCATCTCTCAGAGGTCCCATTTAAATATCCTGAGCATGGCACATTATCTCCAAGTCCCCAAACAATTTCCCGTGAGCAAGAAAGGTGTCGCCCGTCTTCTGTAACTAACCTGAGTACACTGAGTTTTTCAGTGGGTCTAGGCTTCCACAGAGCTTATTTCCTAACTTTTCTAAGGCTTTTCTGGTGCAGCTGATAAGATTTTCTAGCCCTGTTAAAACCAGATGAGATCCGGCCAGCTGTCGAGAAATGGACAATGAGATTATACTAAGGAGGAACCACCAGACACAAAGGCCCCCATGAGGCGCTGGCCTGCTGTCTGCTTTCCAGGCAGACATCTGAGGGGGCACTGGCTCCTGGGTGGGGGTGGGGAGCAGAGAAGGGGCAACAGCCATTTTGCCCTCCTGTGCCCTTCCTCTGTGCCCTGCTGAAGAGGCTGCTGAGCGGCAGGAACAGAAGGGTCACATCCTTAAGGGTGAGAAAGGCTGATAATTTAGGAAGAGTTATGCGTTGGT